TCAACAAGCCCACCTCCCATTAGACAGTGTGTGAACATCTGCTACCATTATGATACATGCACAGTTCGCTGAACTTCAGATTTACATACATAAGAGTTTTGGGATGAATCATCACCTGTTTTATTTTTCCTCTTTTTGCACCTCATTTCTAGCTATTTCAGCAATCTATGTATGAGCAACCATTAAAGCTTTATTTCTCACCTCCAGTGCCACAGTTGATTTTGTTTTTTGTATTGAAGGCATTTGAATAAAATGTCTTTTATATTCACAGGACACCCACACTGCCCTACAAAGCCAAAAGGTCGAAATTGATTTTCAGCAGGTGTTATAAGAGTCTGGATCTCTGGCTGTGGACCACCTGCTGCCCCAATGTTCTTGCTGGACACCCGCTGCGGCAATTATTATTATAGCCCTATTATTATTAGCATTGTTTTTAGCAGTTATTAGCAGTCTTAGAACTATTATTTATTTTATTTTTTTCATATTTATACTATAGGGAATTGTTGGGTCTCTGTAAATAATATTTCAAAGAGACCAGTCTAGACCTGTTATATAAGAAAATGAGAAAACTTCTGTTAATGAATCGGTGCTATATAAATAAAAATGAATTGAGTTCATTTTGACTTTTGATGTTACCATATCATTTTTTATTATGCAATGTAAATGCTAAAAAAGTTTGATATTATACTGTAGTTCGACATTTTGAGAAATACGCTGAACTGCATTAATACCACTTTTATTTCAGTGAATGTGAACAGTCAGGCGACAGTTAGCTTAGCTTAGCTTCAACTGTGCAGAGATGAGAGTGGTATTAATCCGCTCAGGTCAGCCTCTGCAAGAACGCGGATAAACATATTTTCAAAAATATTTCTAAATGCACTTACTGCACTCTGCCACATTCAACTCTACCGCAAACGTTAAAGCAAGAGCAAGTGCTCAAGTGAGCAAGCATCAGGTGAGCTAATCATGGCTAGCCTTAGCTAAAGTGACAACTACTGATTCCCTAGTTAATTGTAAATGAAAAATATCCATTTTTATTGAACTGCCATCTTGGTAATTCAGTGTATTATTAAACAACATTATTAATTATAGGCTACATGACGCAGTAACTAAATCCAATAAAGAAAGAGACACACACAAACACACCAGTTCAAGGCAAAGAGCAGTATCTGCATTGTTTAAGTATTTTGTGGGAAATATAAAATAATACCTTAAAAGGCTTAAAATTAAGCCATTATAAGCTTTGCATCCACAGTTTACACAGACAATTTAGCTTCTTCTTCTTCTTAGATATCAAAACAGCCCTGTTTTCTGAAATTTTAAAATTATTTTAACTGATAATTCTTAAGATGTTTTCATCAAAAGGCTACGGAATATATTATTAAATAAATGCTGTGAGTGTGCATTTGCTACAGTTGAAAACAATAACAAAGAGAACCTGTTATGATACAACAGAAACCTCAGTATGTTCTGTCCATTAGAGACAGACGTGTGGAAGTTGCCTTTAATCTCACAAAGAGTACAAATACAAAGTGAGTGATTCACCAAGATCACTAAAGGGTTATCTAAAACAACCTGCTCCTTCAGTGATTCCTACAGTTATCTAAGTAGTATGACATTGGAACCTGAATAAACGTTTTCAAGTGCATCTGGACTTACTCGTTACTGAGCATTCGCAATAAATCTTATGGAAGTGGCATTCAGCATTTTTTTCTAGAATATAAATCTCTATCTTAAAGCTATTTGTGCTGAACTGCAGCCACCGAGTGCAGACAAGAAGGAAGACAGTGATGAATGCTTGGACTTGGGTGGAAGATACCGGGTGCAGTTAGTGAGTCTCACTCACTGATCATAGGCCTGCTGACCTGTTTTCAGAGAGGGCCAGACCTCAGTTTGTAGCCTTGAATCCCATCCTGAAATGGCAGAAAACACACTCTGATCCATGCCCTTGATATTACTCATCATAATTTTTGGCAGGCGATTTTCCCCTCTGAGGGGCTCTGCTCACTGCTACATGTTTTTAATAAGTTTCCACTGTTTCAGTGGAACATGTTCAGACAACTGTATGAAAACAACGGCCCGTCCAACAGATTAATGTACTACAGTTTTGAAGAGGTTGCAGATTCTTATGTTTCATGTCACCTTCCAGCACACTGCACAGGGATCATGTCAGCTATTATAAAGATCAGTAGGGAATAGCGTGACCACCCCCACCACACACCCCGCCTCCCCCGCTGTGACACAGTCTTAACCGCTCCAGCATTAAAATGTTTTGTTTATAGTTTATAGTTTATTTTACAGCAAGGATATTACCTGCCCTCTTTGCACACAGCTGCCTGCGTTTTTATAAACTAATACTTTTAATTTTCGACTTGAACAAACTATTTCTCACTGAACACCGCTCCTTCTCCTTCAGCTGCTGCTCTCTTGGACATCACTGTTAAACCAACCCTGCTAGTCCCACAAGTGTCTTACAATTTATTTAATTTAATGTATGTCTTATTTTTGTTTTCATACAGATTTTTAATACCATGGTCAACCAGCCTTGTTTGTAAAAGTATTGTTCAATAAAAATATAATAAATATAGCTGCAAAGATGTAGTGTCTAAGCGGACTACGAAAAATGCAAATGTTGACATTTTCAGGGTGTAAGACCAGAAGCAGATGACTTTAGAGATTAAAGTGAAAGAGTTTTAACTCTAAGTGGTTTGAGATAATTGCAAAAACACAAACCTGATTATTACAGCATTTTCTTGAGGTCAGTGAATGTCATTACATATCCCTGAGAACTGGGTGGACCTGCCAATTTTTGTGTTTAAGGGTAAGTTTTTGCTGCACAAACACTGTTTAGACACAATGTTTTTTTGCTTACTCTTGTTGGTTTTCTTCCTGGATCTTGTGGCTGTCTAGTTTGGCTATCCATAGGCTGTAAGTGCCTCCTTCAGTTGCTCTTTCTCTTGGGCTTGGGCACTTGTTAGTATGTTATCAGCTCACTGGTGCAGGATTGTGATTATTCCTAGATTATGCTCCAGCCTCTTTAATTAAATAAATGTGTATAGCACAGTCCAAGAAGGCCAAACTGTTGTTGATGACCTCCTCAACAGTGCCAAGCCACTGATACAGATATGTGGTAGTTAACATGTTACTGCCCATCACTGCACATCAGTGGATAAGCTGAGAACCTTTCAGCTCTCTAGGCCATAGAGGATTTTTTTGGAATGTTTGGAATGAGAAATGTCTAAAAATATACATTTGTTGGTAATAAGCCACGCCCACTTTAATCACTCATTACCAAATTTTATGCACCAACTGAGTAGTAACCCTGACTTTTTGCATTTCATGGCACCCCCTAGTGGCACAGTATCACAGCGAAGCTCAGACCTAGCATCCAAACACATGCTCCAAGTTTGGTTAAAATAGCCTAAGCCAATTTTGATTTATGAGCATTAATGTAAAATGTAACTTCAAGACACAAAAGTAAAAATTTGTAATTCCAACACAGATTGACATTGGCCTGAAGGTTTTTTGATGCTCGAAAACAGGATTTTGAGATTTTATTTTGTGACATTTTTAGAGCAGAAGACCTTTGGGGCAAAGACGCAGATGAAGTACGAGATTAAAACGATGAAAGAATCTCATGATCTATCCTTCCTCTCTGCTTGTTCCAAACAAACCCCTGTTTTTTGGAAACGTACAACACAGCACATCTTGCATCAGATAATCATTTCCCAGGCCAGTAATGACCTGCGTATCAGCTGAATCACTGCTGCGTTACATAAATCATATCAAGTAGCAAACATTTTATTCGGATCAGGGTCATTGTGACAACAGAGCAAGCAGAGACATGGAAGGTCTTAATTCAGAGTGTTACAGCACAAAGGCTACTTTACATCTGAAAGGGGCATTCGGCTAATTTAGTTTTGCACTTCCACAACGTTGGAAGACTTACAGATAAGACATTTAAAAGGTGATGTTATAATTTATCATCTCCGAGCCCAAGCCAAGATAACCCTGATGACATCATAAGGGTCATTTTCCCCATACTTGACAAAGCTCCTATAGAGCCACAGAACATATTATTCAACTGTTTAAACAAGCTGAGTAGCACTTTCCAGCCATGACAAGTTAACATCATGTGTAAAATTGATGGAGTGCCCCCATTAGCACTCATTTTGAGGGAAAAACTGGATGATGTTTGAGAAATTTCTTTCAGGCTTTTTACACCAAGCTTTTAAATTGAGCTTGTTTGCATTTTATGACACTCCTTGTTAAGCATGTTTGAATAAAGGCTGGATGAAAATAGCCCAACATTTCTAACCACATTTAACGGAAACATAAGATGTTAAACTGCAGTCATTAGCGACCAATGAAACAGGCCCACGGCGACTTCAGAGTAACACCCCGAAAAGCACAAGAGCCAAGCCAATGCTACAGTGGAATCTGGGTCAGAGCTAGTTAAAAGATTTGTCTTTTAGCCATGCTCCTCCATTTACAAAGGAAAAACTACAGCGTGGCAGTCTGGAAGCAGGTCGCTGCAGTGTTGGAAAAGTGCAAGGCATCTCAGCCAATTTGACAGTGACATCCAAGTGCTGAACAGAGGGCCATTATTGCGGAAGGTTGAACCAATATACACTCAAACAGGACCCCTAAAATGTGCAGGAGGAGCCATTTACGGGTGTTAATATCAGAGCCAGGAAGAGTGCGATCATGTGTTTAACGTCTACCTTTTACACTGAATAAACACTGAAGCTTTTGTTAGGACATTGTGCCAATATTTCCATTCTAGCATCCATAAACTCACCATTACCATTGGCTCATACAAGAAAAAAAAAGCCCAGATTGTTTGTTGGTCTAGTTTTATGTGCCGTTTCACAGATCAACTGTTCTGGTTTTATTTGTTTATGTTTTCAAAATGATTAGAAACATTCAGTCAGTGAAATTAGTCAAAATAATCGCTCACAATTGTTTAAGAAAAACAGCTCCAAGTCAAGACCACCCGATGGATGTTGCAGCAAAGACAAATTTATTTAGTAGAAATGTTTTAGAGATTCATACAATAATGATAGGTACTGCTGAAAATCACAACCCCTCCGTCCAAACATTGGGCGGCCACAGTGAAAAACATTTCTATGTTGTTGGCTAAAAACCTTAGGGCAAATTGGATGTCTGAGAGGAGGAGGCACTTAGACTGTTGAGTCCGTGATTGTGGAAAATTACATCAATCTTCTCTATTCAAAAGATTTCCAGACATAATACACTCAAAGAAAGTTTTCATTAGCAACAGACTTTGGAAAGTTATTGAGATCTGGACATGGACTGAATTAGTAGGGAGCACCTGTCTCTACTCCAGTACACAAATTAATTTTCTATCTTATTCTCCAGTTAGATTGGCAGGGATGCTGACTAATCCCCTGGTCGGTCAGTGAGGTCGCTAGTAGGAAAAGTGGTTCAGTCCAGTTTACAGACCTTACCACTTATCTGAAACCAGACGTGCTGTGAACTCTATTCAGTGTTCAGAGGTGTAGTTACAGCTAGCTCCGACATCTCATCTACAGCTTGGCTTTGCCCGGCTGCAGCTGCAGGCTTTGAAGCTTCATGGCCAGTCCCATGTTGCCTGTGATCTTCAGCTTGCCCTGGAAAAACGCCTGTGAATCAGGAGAGGGTGGAAAAACATCATCCAGACAATTCTGAAAATCTGAAGTACGGTTCAGTCTGGATTGGAATCGGAGAGAACTACATGCTGCTGGTTTTAAGAGTTGCCGTGAGAGATTAACTCTACCCGGGGAAAGTGGGGCAACAGCAACAACAGCTTATGAAACGTCAGGAAACTGCATGGCACACACACACACACAGCAGGCAGAGTGGTTTGTGGACTGGAGTCCCAAAAAAAATAAAAAAAGGAAAAGAAGATAAATGAAAAAAGGTAAAATCAGACCAGGAGGTAATAATCTGACCACTCTGAGTAAGCAGAAATTCTTAGAATGTTCTGTTCTCAGAAGGAAAATGAAAGCTTTTTCATGCGAGTTTCTGGCAGAAATGGAAGAACTGACATGATCAAATTTGCCATTGCATTAAAATCAAAAAAAAAAGGTCAACCTGTCCAAATTTCTAAATGCTAGGTGATAAAGCACGGGGAAAACTCTTGGTGTTCTTGGAGCACTCACAGCTGTCCTTCATGACACAAAACACAGTGCAGCGACGGCCTTTCTGGGGACTGATCTGTGATCCCTGTAAATGGTCGTGGACTGACAGAGGTCGTCATCACATCACTCTTGCAGTACAAATGATGCTAATGTCCAAATACGTCAAAAAGAGAAATAGTTTTGGCATCAAAAGAGTTGATACTGTTTTTTTAGTTTAGTCAAATTTTTTATTAATTAATACTTTTTATTTTTTGTCTCTCACACACAGAGTTTTATCTATTTATTTTATTAAAGTTTTTGATATATATATATTTTTTTTGCATCGTGAGTGACCACCAGTTAGCTTACCAGCAGCACCGGCTGGACTACGGAAGGTAACTGCGGTGTCGTGGGAGAATCATTAAGCTCGTCTAAGACAATATATAAAAAATGAATAATGTGTGTTTTATTATTTGACCCAAGCAGTAAAATTTTGTTAAAAATACAAAACAAAACTTTTTGTTACTTCCTCTGTTTCTGAATAAATAAGTTGATATATCTTTACAAAGACTTTCTCTAACAATTTTTGGTTTAACTGTAGCAGCTCACAGAGGCAGGTATGAGATGAACAGTGCTACATTTCAAGTTGACAGTGATTTATAAAGGGGAATCTGTCTGAGTGTACAGATCGTTTACAAATTCTTTTTTTGTTTTGTGCACATGTAGCCTTTTACTAATTACAGCAAAATGTTGTAAATGAGGCTGCATCACATTGCCTATTGTATCTGTATGATGTGAGTAGTCCTATTATCAGCAGGATGTTGCAGTGCCGCTTATCAATATTAACTTTGAGTCAATTACATTTAGACACTGATAAACTGTACATTCATCAGTGAATTTCACATTTCAGCGACGCTGGGAAAATTAGATCCCGTGTGTAAAGATGTCAGAGGAGAGTAACAAGCTTCATATGGAGGCGCAAGCGTGACACGGGCACACTGGCTAGAATGGCAGAATTCCAGCAGCCACAGTACAGCCTGAACGCAGCGCCACTAAGCGCAAGACAAGTATAATAAAGAGAGAGAGAGAGAGAGAGAGAGAGAGAGAGAGAGAGAGAGAGAGAGAGAGAGAGAGAGAGAGAGAGAGAGAGAGAGAGAGAGAGAGAGAGAGAGAGAGAGAGAGAGAGAGAGAGAGAGAATACTCACAGTCTGTGGGTTCATCTTCCCTGTCATCAAGGCCAACAAGTCTGTGTCAGACATGGAAATGGTGCAATCTGCTTTTTTAGCTGCAGGTCAGAGATAAAGGAACTAAACTCAATTACAAAATAGGACACATACTGCACATCTCTGGGATATTTATTCAGTGACTTGCATGTGTTTGAAGGTACTGTCAAAGTCTAATAAATTCACACACAGATGAAGCAGGCCTTGAACTTTAAATTGCATTTCGACCCATAGTTGAATATTAACATGATTACACGTGGCTGTGTTTCCCGCTGTCGTACGAGACAACAGAAAGCCCCTGGGTTTTCTTACCCGTGTCATTGTGAACACAGCCGTTGCCGTTCTTCACATCCACAAACCAAGTTGCCTCCTGTCCGTTTGGACCATCCTTTACTTTAAAGGCAAACACTCCCCCGATCTTTTTCACAAACTGCTCCCCATCCTGTTCAAAGTACACAGACATTTTACATACAGTGAACCCTGTAGCATCTCGATTACATGTAAATGAAGTTTTCACTACCTATATTACAAGCTCATGGCGAACTCACAACGCACACACTTTTTAATAAAAATATTATATGTCTGTTTTCAACATACTGTTCTATTCTCATTACATTTTACTTCACATTATGTTTTCTTCCTGCATTGGCACTCCTGTGCTATTTCATGTCTTAGATTATAATAGGATTTGATTGATTTTGTTCCTCTTAAGTCATTTTCAGTTGTTGTGTACATGACAATAAAGAAACTTGCAGAGAGTGTCAGTAGTTCGTGGATATAAGAACCATGTTTGTGGGTTATTCTGAACCTAAGTAATGACAGAACATGTACTGACTATTCAGTAAATGAGCATTATCCTGGAGTGCAATATTTCAGCTGGTAACAATAAGTTATTGCACTGTATTGTTTCATATCTATTGTTTATTTGTAGATCTAGAACTGTAATTATTTTTAGCTTAAACCTTTTGTCATGTTAATATGTTGTCTTGTTTGTTTTGTCAGGATTGCACTCAATTCTCGTTGTACAATTTTGTGCAATGACAAAAAGAGTCTGAATCTGAATTAAAAGCCGACAATTGTTTCCGTTTTTCTTGACACTGCATCACGCATGAATGATTTTGATTGTGAGGCATCATCTCATCTTATAGAAAGTGACTTTTTTATATGATTTTTAAACAGATCTATGGGTCTTTATCCCTACTGACATCAAAGATACTGAAATAGTGATTTGTGCTCATTTCTGATGCAGACGGCACTGACAGGGTCCTGATGGTTCAGGTGTTTTAGACACAATAAGACATTTCTAATTGTCAAGCATAACTAACCCTTTAGAGATATGTTTGGTCTTAAACATGTTTAGTACTAAACATATGAAAGTAAAAGTGGGTCACGTTAATGCAAAGCTGAATGTCTCATAAGTAAACCAAAAAGTGCGCTCAAAGATAATTTAGGCACTCTGAGGAGATTTGGACTGCTAGTAGCTCTACGGAGCAATGTTTTTATCAGGGAGTTTATGGCAAGATATGGATTGGGTAAATACTCCTTAACTTAAGCACAGCTAAAAGTTATATTAGGGGGAATAATAACTCCCATCGGAGGCAACAGGGAAGCAGATGTGAAGCTGTAGGGAAAGGTCCATGGGAGAGGAACGGTCTCCAACTTTACAGGCTCCTCTCCCTGTCCTCCCACCCAAAATCAAACGGCAGCGTGACCTGGGAATTAACCTGATATCATCTGAAAGGGGAAAGATTGTCATCCATATGTTGTGGCACTTCCCTGCTGTTGATTTCCCGTAGAGGGAGGTGACACATATACTGACCGGGATCCTAAGTGTAGATATGCTCTGATGCAGAACATTCAAAGACACAAGCAACAAAGAGGCATCGCCCTTGTGTGCCTTGCGGGTAAATCAATTAATCAATTTAAAGGTGAGGAAAACGCCCCGCTTCTCCAGAGCCCGGCGGCTGGAGGACTTCCTCCTTTTGTTCTTGTTGTTATGGTGGTTGTTTGTTCTGCTATTGCTGCGGATTCCGTAGTTGTTGTCGTTGTTGTTGCATGTGTCATATCCTATCCTAATAAAAATCAAAGTATGAGCTATAAAAAAAAGAAAGAACACTTAACAGGGCCCCTGTAAATCTGGACCATATGTCAAGCAAATGCTCTTCCTCAGGCTACATTAAATTATTCTTTTTGTAAACATACAAGTGTTTATGGAAATCACTCTGCAGCTGAACATACATCAAACAACAAAAGGTATGACCTTAAATCTGCCTGAAAAATTGGGCTAGAAATTGAAACAGAGACATCATTTTCCCTCGCAACATTTAACTAATATGAAGTACAAAAGTGGGACAACAGATTCACTTACTGAAGATAAGCTCATCTAAAATCTGTTTGTCTGATCAGTTGCCTGAGATATCACACTCAACTATGACTGAGTATTAAGACTGCTCTGCTGTTGCCATTTTCTCATTGATGACAAATCCCTTTCATTACATAGACAGCACAGCCGGAGAGCTTGAGATGAATCTGGTATGATTGAGGTCACCCAAAGGTAACTGCTTAAAAGCACACAGTTTTTTGAAGGAAACCATTTGTCTGATTAAGTCAACATAGACTTGAAATTATTTTTGCGCTGTGAATTGAAAGTTTGGGGAACTGATCCAAACGTGCCACCATGAGGCTAAATACCCACATAGCAGTTTGGCACAGACCCAGAAACTGTATGTAACTAGATGGACTGATGTAGCCTACTCTTAAAAGAATATTGTGCTTTTTGGCCTTTTCCCTTTCCTTTATTGTGCATGCAATAGGATTGCAAAGTGAAATTTATATGTACTACAAATGAATTAAAACAAAAAATTTGCAGTCTCAGAGCTGTAAAAACTATATAATATCGCAGGCCTGCAAGTAACAATATTGTCCCCTATTTTGAAGTCATGTAACAGTCAGTCACCTCCTGGAGCTTCTTGTTGATTTCCTGGAACACAGCATGTGCCTTGAATCCCTCCAGGCCGTCACTAGCACTGGTGTTAATGGCTCGAATCCTTGACAAAGTGAAGAAGGCAAAAGGTATAAGAATGGGAAAGTAACAATGTTAATATAAGAAAGCGGTGAAAACACAGCTCAGACAAGACAAAAGGTTTCCAAAGACAAAATAATAACTGATTTAATATTCAATTTGATAGTTGTTTGTAGGAGATTCAGAGTGTGTGTGGACCTCGCCACTGGAGCTCAGACCGTGTTCACACTTGTCAATTTCATATTACAGGATGTGAATACCTCCCACTGGTCACCAGCTCCGATGTAACACGAAGCCCACTCAGTCATCACTTTCCCAAATGGGTCAAGGTTCATGAAGACTGTGGCCTCCGCATTTGACATCTCCACTACCTGGTTCACAGTCGGCGTATCTAAAGACCAACGCAGCAACTAGCCAAACCCTTTCAACAATGTGGTGTCACAAATTGTGTGCTAATGACGTTGGAAAAGCAGGAGGCCAGCAGGCCAGCTGAAGCCTTAACGTTACACGATAACGTTGCTGTTTGTTAAACAATTCCTAGCTAACTTGGTGGAACGTTAATGTTACCCGGCAACAATAAGGTTGACCTCTATGAATTACTCAAAAACACGGAACTTAACGTGTCACTATAATGCCGCACGGTGCTTAGTATTCCTACCTTGGTGTCTGTATTTCAGGCATTTTGCTATAACGTCAGGTGAACACACAGTGCCTCTGCTAACAGAACTTCGGAGCCGCTGTGTCGCTTGTGCTGCGCTTCCTTGTTTCTTCCTATTTTTCCCCCGGATCTTCAGACACGACGTGTCGATGTCAGATAGCCCAGAGCCACCGAGTGTACTTTGAACGGCCCCAAATGTGTCAACATAACTTTAAAAATGCTCCTGTTACATAATATTATGCGCTACAAATGTTTCGTTTTAAAGGATCGATTTAAAGAGCAAAGCACAAGCGTTGTATGCTGTGCTTTAGATTTAGAAAGTATTACTTTCTACCTTTCCTGGCAGCCACTGGTTTCCATACATCTCTGTATGGGGTGAAAATCAATAAGCCAGCTGCTTTGTGAAATCCATCACAATAAACACCACAGGAGTCTTTTCATTTTGTGAGGTAAGGTTTTCAAATCGTTCCTGCACTTCAACTGCATTGCCTCCCTTTCTATGGTCACCACACAATTATAAAGTAACACCATAGGTGTCATTTACACATGGCACGCTGGGTACATGTCCCCATCGATTTTTGAAAGCAAAATAAAGCTGAAATAATAGCTTGCAACAAGAAATGTTAAATGACTAAATGCTTCGAGAAAGGTTTATTTGCTCGATAAGAAAACATGCAATGCAATTTAAATAATAGAAGCATAAATAAAAGAAACAGTTGTGCATTGTCCAAAAAAAGAAACATAATTTAAAAAACAAAAACAAGATACTGGGGTGGCACGGTGGTGTAGTGGTTAGCGCTGTCACCTCACAGCAAGAAGGCCGTGGGTTCAAACCCTGTGTGGAGTTTGCATGTTCTCCCCGTGTCCGCGTGGGTTCTCTCCGGGTGCTCTGGCTTCCTCCCGCTGTCCAAAGACATGCAGGCTAGGTTAATTGGTGTCTCTGAAATTGTCCTTAGTGTGACTGGTTGTTAGGATTGGCTCCAGCCCCTCACGACCCTTTATGCAGGACAAGCAGTTGATGATGGATGGATGGACAACAAGATACTGATTATAAAATTACCCAAAAATGTGCACCAATCAGTAACTTTAACAACTTCTTGACAGAGCTTCTTTTTGACCAAGTTTTCGGTTCTCTCCCTGTGAACAAAACAAGAGTGGGGAAGACCAAATCATGTCAGCATGTGTATTGATTCAGCAGGGATGATGTTAAATGAAAAACGTTGATCTGCAGGTGAAACATATCTGAAAGCAAGAATGCCTGGGAGCTGCACTGCACTATATTCTGTTATATTTTGAATTTTCACCTGTCACCTAAACTTTGTGTTTCTTTTTACATAAATAAATACATTTCCACTATAAATTGGTGCAGAAACTTTTGCCAGAATGCAGGAAAGCATGTGTTTAATGCTCAAAATTTCCTGAGGGAGGGGCCCCAGACACCTCTTTCATTTGTCTAGGCATCGTACATTTATTATTAACACTGTTTAAGATATTCTCATCTTGTTGTCAGGAACCCAATTGCACACATCGCAACGTCTTGTGAGCTAAGCGGCTCTTCACACCCCTATTCTGAGCCCCTATGTCCCCACCACTTTTCAACACAAAGTCACACCCTTGAGTAACACACATAGTAATGTAGACCTGATTTTTACTGTGTTTGATCATACAAGTGAAGGATGTGATTCACACTGTGCAGAAATGAAAGGAATCCAGTAAATGTCTGGAACTGCAGAAAATAAAAACATGCATTCAACAATTGTACTGAACACTTTGGTATGGTCCTTAAAGAGGCATGAAAGGTGCTGATTAAATTCATGTTCTCATTTCACAGCCAAATACTGAAATTGTAAGCATTTATTTGTACAAAAGCATAAAATATGCACTAAGATATTGTATGATTATATATAGTATAGCTTTAGGCCAGGTTCGAAAAGATTTACGTGGAAATTAAAATGTTATAACATAAGCTTTGCATGGCTGTCCTGGCTTCCATTGTTTCAGTTTTGCAAAAGCAAGACTGACCAAAGTCTTATTACATAAATATTGGATTACAGTCAAATAACTGATTAAAAAACATGCTACTTTAAATTATTACCAAAACCACACAATAACATTTTTCTGCATGATGCATCAAAAAATGTTGTAAATGTTAAAGCTTTCACTTGTAAATACGCTTTTTTAAATGTTTTACTGTATATCAGTTTTACATGTGCTATGTTGGCACTCAATCACCTATTGTAGGATACTCATTTACATAAAAATGAGCACAACTGAGACACTATTTATACCTGTGTGGAAAACTCTACTCTTTTATCTCACCTCTATGAAAAGGGAGCTACCTCTGTACTTCTCATTGGAGGGCTAATTATGTGTTTCTGTGGCTTGCATTTTGAATGATAATGAATTAGGGACCTTTGCCACTGGGGTGACACACAGGGGAATATTTCACACATGATAAAATACATAAGTTTCCACCATATAATCATGACAATATGAACACTGTTGTTCGACTCTCTAGTTTGTGCCATGCATGGTTGTTTGCATAGCCTGACGGATACTGAATATCTGAGGCCAACAGCTATCCCTCTTTACCCATGAGCGCTCCCTGATCCATTCTACCAACACCATCTTCAAATTTGCTGGTGATACCTCCCTAATTGGACTAATAACAGACAATAACGAGACAGCCTACAGGAGCTCAGGAGGTTCAGCATCTGACAGAATCGTGTTCTTACAATTACCTGGACTTAAACATCACAAACTCCAAGGAAATGATTTTGGATTACAGGACATGTACGCGCACTGAGCACTCAGCCCTCCGCATGCAGGGGGAGGAGGAAGAGAAATTAGAGAGCTTTAGGTTCCTTGGTGTGCACATCTCAGCTGACCTCACCGGGAACACACACATCTCCTATCAGGTGGGGAAGGCCCAACAGAGGCTTCACTTCCTTTTCCTTTTTTATACTGCAATTTCACATTACTTATTGGCCGACATATAGCATACCTCAATATTGATATCTGTCATAATAAGCTTAAACTGACCGGTGTATCAGGCGATGTATGGAGCGTTTATAATTACTCTAACATTTCTTTGTTTTAGTTTGATCTAATTTGCATTGGAATATTGGATGATCAATGCAGCCACTCAGGGAAGCATTTGCACCAACTCAGACAATTCAGTCTGAGTTACAGAGTGTGGATGCTGTCCAGTTTTTGCAGTGGGAAACTTTCATCCAGTAGGTGGCGGTAATGCAACACTTACAGATGCAAACTGCTAAAAAAAACACACACAAAGAAGAAGTTACCAATTCAGTTCCTCTTTATTTCCTTTTGCTCTAACCATAGACTGTATGGCTCTAACGTACCACTGAATTTTTAGAAGCGAAGCACACAGTTTCATGAGTCTGAGCGCCAAACTCAATTTGGGAAACAAAAACAGCAAAGGCGATTTGTCAGCTAGCTAGCTAGATATTCCGGATTACAAAGCCAGCACCATGGCCAATTTGCTGTCATTGCAATGCGTTGGCTGTTTGAGGAAATCTGGAAGCTTAATGAATTTAAGACCTGCGGCTCTGGGCATCGATAAAAGAAACTACAGCAGCAAGAAAGGGTCTTCAGCCGAGTATCTGCACCAAAGTGTTGTACCATCGATGCATTACCAGAAGAGTTTACCCAGGTAAGGAGTCCAAGGTGTCAGTGCCCTAACCATAACCCCAACATGTGGTGTTAACTCAACATACCGTTAGGCTAAGTATGAATCTAAACTAGGAATGTCAGGTGGTCGTGGGAAGGTGACCCATTTAGCTTTTAAAAGAATGTAGGTGAAAGTGCACGATTGATTTTAGGTTGATGACCACTAGGGGGAACGTGACATGACTGACATCTACTGGCGTCCAACATTTACTGGGCTGCTGAAAGGATAAACTTTTCTCTTTTTATTATTACTTTTTTTTTTTTTTTTTATGCTTAGGCTGCCCGTACCAAAACTGGAAGATACTATCAAGAAGTATTTAGCTGCCCAGAGGCCTCTGTTGGATGATGACCAGTTCAGGTAGGTTTTCACATGGAAATCAACCTTTTAATTTCCTTTTGTGTAGTTCCAAATTAATACTCACTGGTCTTTACTGTGTGTCCTCAGAACAACCGAGAAACTTGCACAGGATTTCCAGAATGGCGTGGGGAAACAGCTGCACGAGGAACTAGTCGCTCAAGACAAAAACAATAAGCACACAAGCTACATCTCAGGTGAACTGGCCTTTGTGATCATTGCCAACCTGAAACTGAGCAACACACAAGCGCATATGTACCTAATTCATCCAGCTGAATAACTTCTTTTCTTTCAGGGCCATGGTTTGACATGTATCTTTCTGCACGTGACTCTGTGGTGCTAAACTTCAACCCCTTCATGTCCTTCAACCCTGACCCCAAGGCCGAGTACAATGACCAGCTGGTGCGGGCGACCAACATGGCGTGTTCAGCTGTGCGCTTCATGAAAACACTGCGAGCTGGATTACTGGAGCCAGAGGTTTTCCACCTCAACCCGGCAAAGAGCAACACAGACGGCTTCAAAAAGTTCATTCGCTGGGTCCCGTCTTCGCTGTCTTGGTACGGAGCTTACATGGTGAATGCTTACCCGCTGGACATGTCTCAGTACTTTCGCCTCTTTAACTCAACTCGGATTCCCAAGCGCGGGCGAGATGAGCTCTTCACTGATGAGAAAGGTCGACATCTCCTGGTTATGAGGAAAGGCAACATGTACGTGTTTGATGTTGTAGACAGGGATGGGAATCTGGTGAAGCCTGCAGAGATCCAGTCCCACTTTAAGTACATTTTGTCCGACCCAACGCCAGCGCCTGCCTTTCCTCTCGGGGTCCTGACCAGTGAGAACAGGGATGTGTGGGCCGGGCTGAGGGACAAGCTGATAGCTGCTGGAAATGCAGAGGGTTTACGGCTTGTTGACAGCGCCCTTTTCGCTCTCTGTCTGGACGATGAAAGCATGAGGGACCATATTCACATCTCGCACAACATGTTGCACGGCAACGGCTGCAACCGGTGGTACGACAAGTCCTTCAGCGTCATTCTGACCAAAGATGGACAGGCAGCCATCAATTTTGAGCACTCCTGGGGCGACGGCGTAGCTGTGCTCCGCTTTCAGAACGAGATCTTCAAAGACACAACCGAGCAGCCGCTGGTCCACCCGGGCTCTGCTCCTGCTGCTGTGGATTCAGCATCAGCTGTGCGCAGACTGCAGTTCAACCTGGACAGCGAGCTGGAGAATGGCATCAAGGTAGCAAAGGAGAAGTTTGATTCAGCCATATCGAAGCTCACCATCGATGCATTGGAGTTCAAGAAAGGTGGGAAGGAACAATTGAAGAAGAGCAAGTTGAGTCCAGATGCTATAGCCCAGCTGGCTTTTCAGATGGGCTTCTTGAGGCAGTATGGGCAGACAGTCGCCACGTACGAGTCGTGTAGCACTGCGGCGTTTAAGCATGGCCGCACAGAGACCATCCGGCCAGCCACCATACACACAAAACAATGCTCACATGCCTTCGTTTGCCAGCCAGGCCAACACAGCGTGGGGCAACTACAGGCCATGCTGAGTGAATGCTCTAAATATCATGGACAGCTCACCAAGGAGGCAGCTATGGGTGTGTAGAAGACATCTCTCCATGTATTTAAATGATTACAATGAGTGATGCCATGAAATATTCTATATAATGTATTTTTGTGGTCTGTTTCTGAAAACATTTACAAGGTGCTTTGGTAATTTCTTTACAGGAAAGAATTCCTAGACTGAACTTTCTCTGTTCACCATCGTGCAGTGACTCAGCTAGTTATGTCATATCCACAGCAGGATCTGACAGCTTACGATTCTGCACTGAGCCAAATATTTGAGACTTACTGTATCAAAAGTCTCATGTTATAGCAGTATTTGATCATTTACAACTAGGGTGATTGAAGATGCAATGCATGTAAAACAAGGGATCAAAAAATATTTATTTTATCTTGTACAAGACAATGATGTTGTTTAAGTTATTATCTTGTATGTATTAGTTAATATAATAACTTCATTAATATAGCACTTAAACTAAATAATATACTAAGATAATGACTAGGTCTAGCACAAGATTAAAATAACTAATCTTTCCAGACTACAAGGGTTCCATAAATTAGTGAACATGGGAGTGATATTAGGCAAAACTGGTCTCTACTTACAGTACGCATCCCACTGGTCTGCTGTATTAACTACTTTTATTACTCTCACCAGGCCAAGGGTTTGACCGTCACCTGTTTGCCATGCGATATCTGGCGAATTCAAAGGGCCAGGCTCTGCACAGCTTGTACACAGACCCAGCTTACGCTGCCATCAACCACAACATCCTCTCTACCAGCACCCTCACCAGTCCAGCTGTGAACCTCGGTGGCTTTGCTCCGGTGGTGCCTGATGGGTTTGGTGTGGGCTATGGTGTCCACGACGACTGGATCGGCTGCAATGTGTCCAGCTATCCGGCTCGCAACGTCCACGAGTTCCTGCAGTGTGTTCACAAGTCTTTAGAGGACATTTTCACTGTTTTGGAAGGAAAGCCGCTCAGCTAAGATACATGCGTTAGTCATCACAAAAGTGAAAGAAAAAAAAACTAATTTTACAGAACGGTGAAGGTCAGCTGCTCCCAAACTAACTTCTCTCTGGAACATGCAGGAATTGAGATGAATTATATATTTAATACATTATCATGGTGCTTGAATATAACTTTATTTTAGGAATTCAAGAAATTTGGAGTGCTGGTCATTATTTATGCAGGACTTTTCAGATGTAGATTTTCTCTGGAATAGATTCAAGTATGGAATCAGACTGTGCCTTCTCAATGTGAATTTAACAGCATCTGATTGTTATTGTGATAACCTATTTAAATTGTCATCACTGTCATTTACATTGACAATATTGTTGTGGGTGAATGTAATTTGAAATAAAAATTAATTGATTTACATTTGCTCCTTTATTTCATAAATGTAGCAAGAACATCTTCCCAATTAAAACTGTTTGATGCCATTGATGCCAGTAAAGGAATAAACCAGTATATCAGATGTTTTTCTCATCCTTTATTTAAAATAAAAAACAGTTCCACCAAAAGCAAATGTACAAATGCGGTAGTACAACAGAAACATTAGCTAAATCAATTAAAACCAGCAAAATCCACATTTAGATAGGCTTGATCTTGAAGTGTAGGCCGATGAGACTGAAGACGAGACACTTCAGATCTTGCACCAGGTAGTAGAACACGCGAAGACCTTCAGGGTCCCTGAAATACAGTGCGGGTTTTAAAGTTATGCCCCTTTGTCAGGGACAAATACACACCAGTCTCTACTTTTGTCAACTCTCAGATATAGTACTCACTTTGACTGGTTGACGTCAATCAAGGAACCAATTTTGGAAGTTGTGAATGAAATGTGCTCGTCTCCAATGACGATCTCCAGTTCCTGAGAAATTGGGACAAAAACTATCAAGTTATTCTTCGGCTTAAAAGGCTTAAAAACAATGTTTCTGATCAAATCAATACAGAGTTGATTTGCCAGTAAAGACATGTCAGAGAAAATATCAGTCCGTTGACCAAATATTGAAAGGTGGGATGTTCTGTATGTGCCATCAAAATCGGTGACCCTATTTAAATAATAAAGCCATAACTGTAGTCACAGCTACCAAAGTATGTTACCTATGGACTCCCTCTTGTTAGAAACAAACAATACATGATGTGACCACAGCAAAAACATTCTTATAGGTTCACAAAATCTGACTGGCCACTGAATGCAGTGCAACACCAACAGTGTTGATAAAAAAAATACTTGCGCCTGTACCAAAATATAGCAATCAAAACTACATGAAATTACAGATCTGGAGAGAAAATGGGTTGGCATGCAATATGATCTGTTCACTGTCAATGAATTTAGTCACAAACCTGTCTGCCAACTCTGTCAGGAGGCGGCCACAGTGCATCATCTTCCTTTGTGATCTCACTGTCGTCAATGATCCTCTTCAGCTCCTCCATAACGCTTTTGTGTACATATGCCTTGGTTGGTACAGAGAAAACAGATGGACCAGGTTAAACTTGGCAAATGTTTACAGCTGTGATATCTACCAACATATATGATGTAAGAATAGGCTTATCTAAAATATTGTTTATCTTAATATCAAAATCTCTCTTCTCACTTGGTTGATCACTATCAAGCCCCCTAATGAATGCCACCACCGCACAGCGCTCCTTTACATACAATGCTGCAGCTAAGCACTAACAGTATGGCTGTAGTGCTGGTCACATTATTGATATCTTGGAAAGGTGTTTTTAATAAGTTACCTCCTTTCTGATCATCACGTCATTCTTGTAGTTGCTGTTGTTTGCGTACCTCAGTTTACCTGCGAGAAAATAATCAATTTGAAACAATGCATCACGTTTAAATAAAACATGGATGAGTTTGTTCCCATCCGCACAGGCCACATGGTTCTTAATATCTGCTCATAGGATATTAATTAAGAGGGTAATACATTTATATTATATATATTTTGATGCATTAACTCAGTCCAAACTAACTTTTATGATACAGTGGAAACCATAGAGAGAATTTGGCGCTAGCAACTCGTTGTGAGTCCGCTGCGGCCTAGCCCACTGCCAGGTAGCTAGCGACGTTAGCTCAGACGCAGGAAAGCTAACACGCCTGTATTACCGCCAAACTGAACTTACCGTCAGGTCTGAATTCAAATTCCAGGAACTCGTGTCCGAACTTTCCCTTGTGTCCAACATAATATCTTAAATAGAAGTCACTTGTTGACATCTTTACTCTCCAGAAAGTAAGCTTTCCGGTGAAGTCGGCAGAACAAAACTTAGCAAGCAGCCAGGACCCTCGCCAACCATGTACGCATGCGTAAAGGTCATAGGGATTAAGGCATCTATGCCCCGAAGTTTGTCTTTCAGGAAGAATTTACTGTATGTACTTGATTTGATTTCATATAGCCTCTAAATGACAAAGATATTTTCTAACAGCTAACACTCACATCGATAATTCAACCAAAAAAAGTGCCTCTAGGGCAAACATTACATTCAGAAAGCAAGATTACACCAAATATAACTTTGTTTAGTGTTAAACATCAGACTTAATATAATTCTGTTAAAATGTTAATACTTTTGTGCATCTCTTCTAAATTAATACATTTTCTTACTTTTTGGGTATAGTTTCATTTGTATTTCGCCCTTAATATTATTATCATTATTATTATTATTATTATTATTGTGTTTGTGGTGTATAACATATGTGCATCTGGCCATTACGTGCATCCGGCCATTACAGTTTAACATAATGCTCTGCAGCTGGTGAGAGGGACAGTGAACCCTTATGGGAAAGTAATGATTGATGGGTGCAGTGTTAGGGGAAGTAGAAATTAGGTATAAAGAGATTAGTGTGTATAAAGAGATTAGTGTGTATGAAGGGACTGTACCCTTCTGTGGTGTCTAATAGATGGTTACACTTATTCTACAGCACTGTGCCCTTATATGGTTTTTAGCAGAGACCTAAACATGTCCTAGAAATGTTACTGAGGCTGTCCATTTCTGCGAAAAGACAGGAGTAGGATACACATGGGATGAAACAAAGGCCCTTCTCAAGGATTCTTGACTTTGTGAAATCGCCCACTGTCTCCTCTCGTTCTGCCTGACAGACCTCACCCAGGGATTACGATTTATGCCTTTAAGCGCCGTCGCAGTTTGCCAACGTCATCATTTCCCGCAGTTAGGGACGTTTCTGACTGCAGCACACGTGTGGTTGTTATAAACGTTTTCCCATGGCTGGCTCCTTTTCTCAAGAGCTCGAGGATTTGTTGAATCCTTTGCCTAAATTTGCTGATCCCGAGGATGATGATGACGAGACCACCAAAGCCAGAGTGGTTGAAAAATTCATCGAGGACGACGACGAAGATGGGGTCGGTCCCAGCGCTCTGCGGAAGCACAACACATCCCTGCTCTCAGAAACCGACAGACGGTACGTGGGGAAGACAGTGTCTCGGAAACAGCTGCTGATGGATATTGAGGGATCTGGTGATGAGGAGGAGGAGGAGGATGATGATGATGAGGATGTGGAAGAGGAGGAGGGCAGCAAAGAGAAACCAGAAGAAGATGAATTATCGGATTTTATGGAGGATGAAGAGGCAGATGATGATGATCAAAATTATTTAGAAGATGGGGAGTTGGTTGGTAGTGATGCCAAACTGGCATCTAAGACAAAGGTCGCTGACATGACCTTTCCTCTGGGAGTGGACTTCCACAAACTGACAGAAGGCATGGATGACCTAGGAGTGAGTGAAGAAGATGATGATGATGATGATGATGATGAAGACAGTGGCGAGGAGCCCGAAGGCAGCGATGAAGATGGTGGCTCCGACGACGATGAGATGGAAGACGATGATGTAGACGGCGAGGATGAGGGAACTGTCCGCACATTCTCCCAAGACAAAGTAGACGAGGAGGTTGAGAAAGGGAAGGCTGTGAAGAACCAGCTGGCCCTGTGGGACCAGCTGCTCGAGGGCCGAATCAAAATCCAGAAAGCCCTGGTGACCGCCAACCAGCTTCCACAGCCGCAGACTTTCCCGGAGTTCAAGAGGAGGGGCGGAGCCGAGCTTGCAGGGGAGCTGAAGAACGCCCACAAAGCTTTGAAAGCTCTTCAAAGATCCCTGCTGGAGCTGCACGATCAGCTGCTGTACCAGAATGCAGACACGAGGGCCGTCGCTCTGGGGAAGACAGGATCTCAGGGGGAAGACGAGGAGATAAACAGTGATGAGAATGAAGATGGGTCAGTGCAGGAGGGGGGAGCGCCTAAAAGAAAACTGGAGATGGCAGAGTACCCGGACGTCATGGCCAAGCGTTTTGCTGCTTTCCAGCCTTACTGTAACGCCACGTTGCAAAAGTGGCATGACAAAACTAGACTGACTATGGGCAAAAGCAGCAAGGGTTTTGGGGCGTTCGACAGAAACATCTTGACCCAAGTGGAGCAGGTGCTGATGGATAAAGAGAGGCTTGTGCGGCGCACCCAGACCCGACGCTCTGAGTACAGAGTCCTGGGGAAAACGGAGGCCTCTGCTCTCACCTCTCAGGCCGTCTTCACTGAGGGAGAGGAGGCGGAACAGCTGAAAACAAACACACATCTGAAGGATCTGGACGAGGATATATTTGATGATGATGATTTCTACCACCAGCTGCTAAGAGAGCTGATTGAGCGCAAGACGAGCGCAGTGGACCCTAATGACCAGGTGGCTATGGGCAGGCAGTGGCTGGCCATCCAGAAATTGCGCAGCAAGATCAAGAAGAAGGTCGATACCAAGGCCAGCAAGGGCCGTAAAGTCAGATTCCACGTCCACAGTAAGATGGTCAATTTTATGGCTCCCATCGACCACAGCTCAATGAGTGACGAGGCACGCAGCGAACTGTATCGTGGCCTCTTTGGTCAGAACTCCAAAGTCAGGGAGTGACGTTAAGCAGGTACTCATGTGGAGCAGATTCCAAAGTGCCAGGATAGAAACAAAGCAGTGCCTTTTTTTTTTTTTTTTGGCGCTCCCAGGAATGATGCCAAGCAGCAGTGTGGGTTAGGACAGAGGCTGGGCTCTGTTCTTTGTCAGGACGAGCTCTGCAGAGCGGGCTGGCAGTTGTGCTGCTCTGACTTGACAGAGTATGGACTCACAGGGCACATTCAGTTCCTAATACCTTTTTATACCGATTAGCATTTATGTGTTGAGGCCTAATGACCAGTCTGTGATAATAATAATACGTTTCCACCCGAACAATAAGTGAATCAGTGGATTTGAAGCAAAATAATTACTGTCATTCTTTCATATTACAAGTCTCACATGATTCTAGTAAAGTGTGTGCTTCAAATTGTATGGTCCTTTTTTTTTATATAGTAAACTGTCCTAACATATATGCTGTTGCCCAATTATATACAACATACCAACTCTATACAGTATACTAATCTTTCAGCTGTTTTTGCAGTCAGTATAGGTGAAGTCAACAACAAGTCTAACAACAAGGTTCAGTATGCATTCTGACTGTGTTTATACTTTCATGATTCTTTACTTTTCCACACAACACCCTTCAACTCTCTCCGAAAATATTGGCCACGCACCAAAAAGGTAGTCTCTAAATTTTCCTTAATATTTGGATTTTAGTATTTAATTATTCAGTTAATAGTTGGGTTTTTTTTGTAATTTCATTTAGTCTAAGCATGAAGGTCTCAGTTTTGTTTCGGAATAAAATTCGGGTGGAGAATTTTTGTTTGCCAAAAAGAAGTCAAATGTAAACATGTTCATTGAATAGAAATACTGAATATCTTTCTTGCCATTTTCTGTGTTCACGTTATCAGTTACAAGCACCACAGTGGCTGCTGCTCTTATATAGTGTCCTCCACGTGTATCACCTCCATCACCCAAACCCCTGAAATCCCATATGAAAATAGAGGATATGACCTCAGTCCTGACTGCCACTGTTACTCCACAGTATTAGCAACTTAATAATAATTTAAATGCTCAAACTTTTCTGGGTGTCTAGAATATGGCAACAAGCAGCATGTGGCATTTCTGTTAATATGTAGATTTAGAAATGAAAACAGAAAGTCTTTAAAAAACAGATTGGACAGACTACACCAGAAATGTTTAAATCAAATACAAGAATATAGAAGTGACAGATTCCACTCAAACAAAGAGCACCTGAGAACTTTATCATAAGAAAAATGTATTTGCACATTTACATTGGGTATTTTGTACTGGATATTTCACAGCTCAATGCATTTAGGAACACAATTTCCAGTGTGTAGGTTTACTTTTAAATGAAACTTGCATACATGTTCGTCCGAGGATTCAAGTTTATGGGAATCAAAAAAATGATACCTTCAATTCCATAACAATTACTTGTTCGTTATGGTACCGACATCATTAACTGTGGAACGGTGACGTCAGTATCATTCAAATAAAGATCACCTCTTACACAATCAGTCCACAAAGACAGTACGGAAGTTTCTCTTTGGTGATGATGTCATACATTAGATAATTTGAGGTGGGAATCGGTTGTTTGATTTGGCTAGTGACTAATTCAGTATTTACACAAGACAAAGCAAGTGCAGCATGAGGCAACATGACACAAACAGAAAACTCAATCCCTTACTACACAGTTTCAAAGTCTATTTGCATGAGTCAAAATATGCTTTATGTAGAGAGTGAAAAAGGATGTTAAGTTGCATTGATAAAGGGAATTAGTCTGTTCAGACAGTGCATCTTTAATGGTAGTGAGATAAGGTAAGGCCCTGGCATTAAACAGCATGTTGCTACACTGCATTTATTGTATTGTTAAAGGCTGTCAAGTGTTCGGAAATCTTTTTTAGACACCATAACTGCTTCTTTAGTTAGCATCTCCATTTCTGTGGTAAAGGCAAGCAGCAGTTTTAAGTGAAATTACAAGTTAGCCCATTTGTATTTCTCCCAGTCTCGTACAGTACACAAGCTAAAGAGAAAAATATAACTGAATGCAACAGCTTTAAACCAGCTCCACAAAGGAATGGCCATTCTTATTAATTTCTTCAGTTAAAGCTGACTCATCAATTGGAGGCCTTTGGACTTCCTGCCAATTATTCTTGTCACATTGTAGAGCACATTCTCCACGTACAGGCGAACCCTCCTTCCTCTCTTCGGCGGAGTGCTACGCTCAGTGGGGCCGGCTGCTGGACTCCATGTTCGCCTGCTTTGCTGTTCCATAACCATTAAACCACCCGCTCAGCCGTTTGGACAAACCACCATTTAGAATGTCCTGGATGTGTTGAACTATGAGATTTATAGCAACTGTGTAGAGAGACAAAGAGATTATGTGGTCAGGGTTCTCTCACGTGTTAACATCGCATTTAAATCGAAGAGATGAGCATCATTTCAGAGTTTCCAAAAATTAAATCCAGAGTGAAAGACTCTGAACCATTGGATGAAAAAACATTCCTGCTGCATGATAAAGGAAAATAAACGTTTTAACCCGTTTTCCCAACTGGTAGTAGGAAATATCTTCTTGCTCAATTTGGTCAATGTCAAAAATGTTAGTGTATGTATATTTATTTATTTATTATATTTTCATTACCAAATAAGGGAATCCTATTTTGATTGTGTTGTGCAAAAACCAACAACGGATCACCTCTGAACCTGAATTAAGAAGTACAGTAACAACTTAAAAGATGAAAAATCTTAAAACAGACAAATATTTTTCATGCAGATGGTTAGTGCCCTCCAAAACAGAAGTAACTGTAACCTCTTTCATCCAGACTGAAATATCTCAGCAACTACCTAATGGTTCCGAGACAATAACTTGAAGACTTTAGTGATCCCCTAGCTTTTTTCAGCTAGGGCTGTCATCAGATCAAAATTTCAATTTGACCAATATACTTTATTTTACTTTATTTATTTTACAAAATACCTGCAAAACCAAAGAAATTCCCATCTGCAGTAGCTCTGTGGTTTATGCTAATTAGGGGATGTTAACCTGCTAAACTAAGATGACGAACACGGCAAACATGGTTAGCATTGTCATTGTGGAAATGTTAGCATGTCAACGTTAGCATTTAGCTCAAAGCACAGATAAGCCTATACGCACTGCCTCCCCTCCAACAAGGCTGTACACTCTTAGTCATGTTCAGAGATTCCTGGGTTTTATGTTTTTAAATCGATGCTTAGCTCCGAGACTCATTTGCAATAGAAATACATAACAGGCACAAACTGGGCCTACAGGTGAAAAATTAGCATATCGTGCAAAAGTTCATTTATTTCAGTAATTCAACTTAAAAGGTGAAACTAATATATTATATAGACTCATTACATGCAAAGTGAGATATTTCAAGCCTTTATTTGATATAATTTTGATTATTATGGCTTACAGCTTATCAAAACCCCAAATTCAAAATTAGAATATTGTGAAAAGGTTCAGTAATGTAGGCTCAAAGTGTCAAACTCTAATCAGCTAATTAATCCAAAACACCTGCAAAGGGTTCCTGAGCCTTTAATTGGTCTCTCAGTCTGGTTCAGTGGAATTCACAATCATGGGGAAGACTGCTGACCTGACAGCTGTGCAGAAAACCATCATTGACACACAAGGAGGGAAAGCCTCAAAAGGTAATTGCAAAAGAAGTTGGATGTTCTCAAAGTGCTGTATCAAGGCACATTAACAGAAAGTTAAGTGGAAGGGAAAAGTGTGGAAGAAAAAGGTGCACAAGCAGCAGGGATGACCGTAGCCTGCAGAGGATTGTCAGGAAAAGGCCATTCAAATGTGTGGGGGAGCTTCACAAGGAGTGGACTGTGGCTGGAGTTACTGCATCAAGAGCCAGCACACACAGACAGGTCCTGGACATGGGCTTCAAATGTCGTATTCCTCTTGTCAAGCTGCTCCTGAACAACAAACAACGTCAGAAGCTTCTTACCTGGGCTAAAGAAAAAAAGAACTGGTCTGTTTCTCAGTGGGCCAAAGTCTTTTCTGATGAGAGCAAATTTTGCATCTCATTTGGAAACCAAGGTCCCAGAGTCTGGAGGAAGAATGGAGAGGCACACAATCCAAGATGCCTGAAGTCCAGTGTGAAGTTTCCACAGTCTGTGTTGGTTTGGGGAGCCATGTCATCTGCTGGTGTTGGTCCACTGTGCTTTATTAAGTCCAGAGTCAGCGCAGCCGTCTACCAGGACATTTTAGAGCACTTTATGCTTCCTTCAGCCGACGAGCTTTATGGAGATGCTGACTTCATTTTCCAGCAGGACTTGGCACCTGCCCACACTGCCAAAAGTACCAAAACCTGGTTCAATGACCATGGGATTACTGTGCTTGATTGGCCAGCAAACTGGCCTGACCTGAAGCCCATAGAGAATCTATGGGGCATTGCCAAGAGAAAGATGAAAGACATGAGACCGAACAATGCAGAAGAGCTGAAGGCTGCTATTGAAGCATCCTGGTCTTCCATAACACCTCAGCAGTGCCACACTGCAGCCACGCCACAGTCACGCAGTAATTCATGCAAAATGGGGCCCAAACCAAGTACTGGCTACATATACATGATTATATTTTTTTTTGAATTTGGGGGGTTCATAAGCTGTACGCAATAATCAGTATCTCACTTTGCATGTAATGAGTCTATATAATATATTAGTTTCACCTTTTCAGTTGAATTACTGAAATAAATTAACTTTTGCACGATATGCTAATTTTGAGTTTCACCTGTATGTGAGGGTAGGTATCCTGCTTCAAGATAGAGCAGCTACAGTATGATTTTTCTTATGCAGTTTGTTTTGGATGGTTGGTACAGTATGGTTTCTCAAATCAACAGACAAAGCTGTTTTGTTCTCCCAGCAGCAAAGGCTTTTGCTTCCTCAGTTTCAAGAGCCCAACTCCCAACTCAGAGGTCAACAACAAAACACAGCTGTGTCCTCTACGATAACACTGTTTAGACTACTGTCCCGAACATTTGTTTTCACTTTCTTTCATATCATCTCCAATGTCGAAGAATCTCTGCTATAAAGCACAAACACTCACCAAGGTTGTCAGCTCCTCTCGGTATGATCACATCAGCATATTTCTTCGTCTAAATAGCGCCGTTCAAAAAAAAGGAAAAAGGTTTGACCATGAATCGATGCTCAGAGACACAAACACACAAACTGAGTTGAGCAGAGTTACAATACATGTGGAACAGCACTCACTGGCAGACAGAACTCCTCAAATGCAGGCTTGACAAAAGTAATGTACTGCGCTAGAATACTTTCCAAGTCCCGTCCACGTTCACTTATGTCACGCAGCACTGGGGAAAAATGAGACCAGTGAACAGTTATCTTTAAAAAGTAATGGCAGTAGTTCAAACACTTGTTCACCAAGAGTAACTGTAGATGAGAAGTGATAGCACGCTCATGCCTGTACAGTAAATATAAAGTTAAGTTTGTTTGATAACTAAATATCCCAGGACATAAAAACTCATAATACCAAAATGTGTCGTCTTTAAACTTATCTTGTTTTTCCTGCATAAAGTGTTAATTAGTGAGTCTATGCAGTTCTTGGTTGGCTGATTTTATTGCCTTATGACAGAGCCAGTCTAGCTTTCTCCCTCTGGTTCCAATCTTTGAGCTAAGCTAAGCTAATCACCTGCTAGCAGAAGCGTCATATTTACTGTACAGCCATGACTAGTAGCAATCTTCTCATCTCAGCAAGGAAGCAAATTAGCATATTTTCCAAAATGTCTTTTTCCTTAATTAACTAAATCTTTAATTTAGTGCCTTGCCTCTTGTGTTTAGAAATTGCAGGGATTTGTCTAGTCATGCTTCTATACCTCACCTCTCCGTGATAGACGTGTGTCTGCGTCAGTGTCCACAAACAGCTTCATTTGGAAAAGGTCTCGGATCTCCTGAGAATAGAACATCAGGATGCCCTCAAACAGCACCACATCAGCAGGGTACACTGTCACTGTCTCTTCCTTCCTGCCATACAAAAGACATTAAATATAAAAACATTTAGGTCGAGGCCAATGTTTGCTGAACAGCAACCATTGTGGTGATGATAATGGTAAATGTTAATATGTAGTGTAACAGAGTATCAGACTCACAAAGTCAGCAAACTGACTCAGTAATATCAGTTTTACAGACATATCTCCCTAAAGTTTGCCAACATTAGCCACCTTAAGCTAATAGTCACACCAGACAAAAGTAAGGGTGCAGGGATAGCAGCAAAACCCAGTGTAGTAAAATGAGCAATGGTGTGTTTTATTGCTAATGAATTTAACTTTCTCTTTGTAAACAAAGTGTTTGTAATTTCCTCTTTCACACAGACTTGCTTTAAAGCTTCCAATGTTTAATTATGAATTGTTCCAGTGCAATACGTAAAGAGAAAGAACATAAAAACATAAGTTAAAAATAAGGGACCATACCAGTTTTGCATGTTTTAGTCTATTTACTACCATTTACACATATGTCCATTGCATTACTGATTACCATTTTCCAATGCTTACTGTGGTGTTTCAGAGATGCATGCGTTTCCTGCCTTCCAGGCAGCTATTGGTTTCCATTCATGTCACTGTGCTATGAAAATCAATTTGCATAAAAAGGTAGAGAAATTAATCCACCACAGTGGGCATTATGTCGGCTTTTAAAGTTAATGTTACTGCTGCATTATGATGAGACTTCTTCTATGGTGTGTGGGCTAAAACATGCAAATACACTCCTTCAACGTTGTATCTATGGACTTGATAGGACCCATTCACCTGGAATGGGAAACAAAGTCATAAACAGGGATGTGTACTGTTTTTCCCTCCTTGATGTCCCACAGGGTCGCGATTATAAGGTCGTTGTCAAATGCATCTATACAGAGGGAAAGAGTACAAAGCAGTTAAACATGTTTTGTTAGCAGGATAAAATATCACCACGATATTTGCTTTTTTTGATATTTGCAATATGCTATTTTGATGCTTGTATGTTGTTCCTCAAATGTTAGCCACTTTGGATAAAAGCGTCTGCCAAATGAGTCACTGTAAAACCTCAAACCAAGATCCTGAATCCCACAGAGATTAATAGCTGGAGTCGCCTCTAAATCAACAAAGGGGCAGGTTTCCCAGCTGGAAACATACAGCAGTTTCAGGCCAGCAGACCTCTATCCTTGATGAGTGACATACCTGGGTGATCGAAGTTGTACTGGCCCTTGAGCGCTTTGGCCTTCTGCTCTGGGGTGAGGACCCTGTAGAAGCAGTCCTGGCTGAGGATGGCCACTTGCCTCTGGTGGTGGTCGATCTCGTTCTGCCCCAGCATTTCCATGATCTTGCTGCATACTGATGACTAGCACACAGTAGAAGAGCAAAACAAGTATGACGATAAAATACTCACCCTATTATCTGATTTGACACACCCTTTTCTTTTTGGAACGTTACTGTAAGTTGTTGTCAGTACAAATTGACCCAACACACACATTTCCACTTCGCAGTTCACGCATGTCTTCGTGGCCGGGAAACATAGCTGCTATTTAGAAATCAGTATCTATTGGCTGCAAACTTGGATTCTTTAGTCGCATACACAAAACACAGCCATGTACACAAAACAAAAGATTGCACATAACTCCCCATTCAGATAACGTGTGGGAGAACAGGTGGTTTGGTGAGCAGTTACTCTGGGGGGGAGTAATCCCAGGAAGTCAAAACCGACAAACAACTGTCTGCTGAACCACAGCCTAAGTTTTGTTGATTAAAATCACCCCCCCCCCCCACCACCACCACCCCCCCCTCAAAAAGAAAAAATCAACGTACTGTCACCTGCATAACTAACATAAAGGAAAAGACTACTTAAATAATAAATAAATTCAACTACCTTCCAGGTTTACACTGCTGCACTTGCTTCACTACCTCTCTGACATTTTATTAACCAGATTTGTCACACATTAAGTAGAATAAATAAATAGCCTACTTTGATTTTGCCTTGGGGGGGCTCACATCTACTCTGCAAAGCAACTGTTCAACAAAATATCAAACTGAGAAACAACACTCATTGACAACCCTGAAAACCTTTTGAGGCACTGCACAATTTTGGATACAGAACGTAGGCTATGTGTTTAGTCTCTCGTGGCACTGAGGACATTGTCGAGCCAGAAAAGGAGGTGAAATAAAAATCTGGAAGGCGCGAGAGACACACACAAGCAGAGTCAGCGAATACATCAGTGTCAAAGATGGGGGGAGAAAAACAGTATGATATCAGCAGATTCGCCAGAAACAACACCACAGATCATGATGACAACAGAAATAAAAAATCTTTAGGCATCTTACACTGAATATTTGATATTTAGAACTTTAAGGCCTGCAGACAGCATCACACCTTTGCATAACAGCCAGATCCTGCTTGGTTATGCAACAGTTGTTTATTGAGCTTTCAAGGTCTATTAATGGGTTTTATTTCTGGTTTCTGATTTTCATGAGCTTATAGACCATGATCAGCTGACGCTAATTAACTGAACTCTCACTTGCCATCCTTAAGGCTGTATCCCCTTACGCTGAACAGTGGAGTCCTTAAGTGTAATTTCCATACATCACACTACTTTATTAACCATCTAATATATTAGACGGGCAATATTTTGACAATGCACAAGTTATCCTTGGTATGCAGCGCAGAGCGGCCTAAACTAGCTCATTACGGATCAAGCAGCACAACCAGTGTGCTTGATCCAACAGAAACATGATTGGCCTAGATAAGCAAACATCTTTTTCCAGGAGAAGAAAAAAAAAATAGCACGTCATCTCCAAATGTCCCAAAACAAATCATATCAAGCCATCTGTGCGGGTCCACACAGACAGTCAAAGCTTCCCAATAAATAAGAATTTATAGAAATACCAACCTTGCCGCTGGCTGTCCCTCCAGCCACGCCGATGAGGAAAGGCTGCCGAGTGTGGCTCTCATTTTCGGCTTGGTCACCTGGCTTTGTCTCGCTGTCGCCCGGCATGCTTCATCTGCAGCGCGGTGCGGCCCTCTGACACACGGGGGTGCCGGCGCTCCTCGTGCGCTCCTCCCATTTGATGATGGTGTCGATGATGAGGCGGCCGCTTGGGAGCGATGGTGGCGAGTGACAATAATCTGAATATGTTAACATGCCGGGTTCCCAGTCACAGCTGTAGGGCGGAATTTCTCAGTTGAAATTTGTCGACTTCCGACCTCAAAGCGCTTCAGTGAATGACGCCAAACGTGAATAAAAACATGGCTGACCGTGACAAACTGTTGTTTCTTTGTCCATTTACTTTCCGAGGCTATTAAACCAAGGAATTAGGAAGTCAGCTCTCCATTCGCCTAATTTCATTGCTTACATTAACACATTTGAGATAAAAAGTAAAAATACAAATGTTAAAACCTCACGTTTGTGACATGGTTTTGGGTGCTCCTCTTTATATAGCTAACAGTAGCAGGGCTACATTTCATATTAGGCCTACTAAGCATGCTGACACATAGGCTACCGAGTATTTAATTAAAGTAGTATTAGTAGTATTTTATTTTTCATATTTCAGTCCTCCAAAAATGTAGGTCCCACTTTTGCATTAATAGAATACAACACAATACCACAAATATGACAACACCTCTAAGACCCAGTGTCAATTATATATTTTTTATTGTTTTTATTTTAGAACAGTTGTTTTGTATTCTTTAGCCTATCCATGTGTTTTATGATCCTTTTTTCTGGTGAGCCGGTGAACCGGATGTACTTTTCACACAGACGATCCCTTCACTAATGCTGACATAGCGCTACAAGCTGAGCCGGTCCGTGTGATGTGCTCGCGGTGTAACCGCTAACAAATAACATACTATTTATATTCTCTCTGTCGTCGGATAAACGGGGCAGTAAACGGGACACCTCCACAATGAGCACTATGTTCGCAGACACGATCCTGATCGTGTTCATCTCTGTCTGTACAGCGCTGTTAGCCGAAGGTGAGTGAAGTCCTGACAGCTCTGCAGGCGCATTCAGCAGGGTGGCGTTTTACTACGGTCCAGCAGACACATTGTTACGTTACAGGTTCACTCAGTGTTGGGCTGTATAGCGGGGAAACATTGTCAACCTTATTGATTTTGATTAATTGATCATTTTGGTGCTTTTGGGGACCAGAAGGGTTCTAAATAACCTACGTTAGCCAACCGAGCTAACTTAATACCTGACGTTAAGAAGTTAGACAGAACGAGGAATACAATTTCCGGTTACATTTCCACAATAAGTCTGAAGAGAAGAGAAGTGTGTTACTGGGTAGAAATGATTCGTGCCCTTGGAAAAACTCATCCTCTGCATCCTAACTAAGGAGAAATAAACTACATAGTATGACTTTAGTAGTTGGCATTTGTCCTCCTTGATTTGAGTTTCTAAAGTAGGGTTTGCCACATTGTTTTGTGGCTCAATCAGGTTTCAATGAATCGGCTGAATTGCAAACTCTTTAATTCAGGGAAATCCAAGACTAGCAAAGCTTGTGAAATAAGTGCAGCTTAGCAACCGCCTGTCATTACCAAAGCAAGAGCCCGCAGAATGTTTTTTTATGGTGGGTTATCTCTAATCCTTTACTCGCTTGACTGAACCAACACAGGTAGAGCTGGTTCTGGGAACTGCTTAATATAATGTTACACACCTCCATACAACAAGTGCTTGCAAGTACATTGTCAATGTATGTCAGTAGTAATGAGACGGTAATGTTTTGGGGGAAATCTGAATAAAATCTGATGGTACTAAATGTAAAAATGTATATCATCTCACAGTAAAAGTTGCCCAACCAGTTTTTTTTTTACAACCAAATCTCTTCTTCTGATTTTCTCCTCAGGGATTACCTGGGTTTTAGTGTATCGGACTGAAAAGTACAAGAGGTTAAAGGCTGAAGTGGAAAAACAAAGCAAAAAACGTAAGTGACTCGTATGTGAACCTCATGCTACTGTACTTTTTGCATTGATTGTTTTTCTTTGGACTGTAAATGTAAATGTATCCTCTGTTGCTTGTTTGATATTAGTTGAGAAGAAAAAGGAAACCATCACAGAATCTGCAGGACGTCAACAGAAGAAGAAGATTGGTAAGACCCCAGTAAACAAATTTGGCTGAGTAATGCGTTGAAGTGTTGAAACAACAAATATTGAAAACCTCGACACACTCCGCTGCTCTCATGAACAGCCATTTTCATCACAGAGGTCTTTGTTAACTGGTCTCTGCTTCTGAATGTATTACAGAAAGACAAGAGGAGAAACTGAAGAACAACAACAGAGACTTGTCTATGGTGAGAGACAGTTTGTTTGAATATTTAAGCTCATATCCGTCAACAGATTGTCATATGATCTAATTTCATGTCTACACTTTCACATTATTGATATCCAAAAAAACAGTGATATTTGATGTGTCAGTGTTGTCAAATGTAAATTAATTACGTATTTGCATTTTTAATTGTATGTTCTTTTTTTTTTTTTTTACCTGTAGGTGCGCATGAAGTCCATGTTCGCCATAGGCTTCTGCTTTACAGCTTTGATGGGCATGTTCAACTCCATGTAAGTGTTGCACGCAGTTACAAACTAAATGAAAACAAATAAGAGAAAAGTTCAAATGGTGATCACTTAAAGTCTGTGGTCACTGAGAGCTCAGGTTTTTAGTTAAAATCTTGCGTCCTGTGACTTCTTCATTCCACTACTTTAAACATGCCCTCAAACTCTCGCCACTGTCTTTTCCACCCCCCCAGCTTTGATGGAAGAGTAGTGGCCAAATTGCCATTCGTGCCACTGTCCTACATCCAGGGACTGTCGCATCGCAACCTGCTGGGCGAGGATTACACTGACTGCTCCTTTATCTTCCTCTACATCCTCTGCACCATGTCCATCAGACAGGTAACTGCTACACAACAACTTTAGGCTCAGGGTAGGGTTGTGTTACTGGACAGCTATGGATGTCATGGGCAGGGAAACAAAAATCTCTACATACAATAATTATTCCTTGCGCCGGGTCTACAGGGTACTAAACATGCAACTTGTGACCACAGCACCAAAGAGCCAGGCTCATTGGGATGGCTGTCCAAGCGCATTCTCAAATGTAGTGTTGGGGCTTCATCACAATCTTCAAAATGATGAAGGTGTGTCACGTCTCATGAGCTTTGGCCAGAAAATAAAATCTCTCTAAAATCTTTCTTTTCTCCAGAACATTCAGAAGATGCTCGGCCTCGCACCCTCCAGAGCTGCAACAAAACAGGCCGGAGGCTTCCTGGGTCCTCCTCCCCAAGCAGCTAAGTTTTCCTAATTGTCGGACAGGTTCAACAGCTCAGCTTCCGCACTGCGACTGCGTGTGGTCATGGCTCCTTCATCAGAACACAGACACAACTGCTTCTACAGTATCGGAGCAAACGTATTATTAGTTGCAGCTACTGTATCACTACCTTCTGTGATTTCTTTTTTTTTTCATTCATGTTTTGTTTATTTAACTTTAAGATTGTTTCACTTAGAAATTAGAGGAAGTTCTTAATTATGTGGATTACCAAAGGATACAAATATCTACTTTGTATTCATCACATGCCAGACATTGTTTTGGGATTTTAACTGTTAATTGGCACTGTAACATCTGATCCATTTGTCAGTATTATTGTATGTCATTGTGTGTATCTGGATTTCTGACACATTAATAAAGTTTTTGATTACACTTTAGCGCTACTCCTTCGGTGGTAAGCGGGAACAGACGTTACCAGCACTTTGTGATGCGCTTACATGGCCATCATGTCCTTCCTCCCCTTATCAGTTGGCAGTCCCAGATGTGGGCATTAAAGAGAGAGGAAAGAGTCAGTTTTCGGCACCGTGATCATTAATCCAAATTAGATGGCAGTGGGTTTCCCTCCAGACGTGGCAGCAGCTTTACTGCACACTGGACCTGACAAAATAGTCGGCCAACGCTATTTTAATGACCTTAAAGTTCGTCCATACCGGGGTTGTTGCAGTAAATCCAGGGACGTTATTCCACCTTTCAAGCTCTTGAAAACAACCACTCCCTACATGACAACTCTGACTGTCTGCCTAGTGAGTTCCTCACATGTGCTTCTCTCAGCCCCCTCGGCCCGCCTAGTGCTTTTGTCAGACAGTACAACACTCAGGTCTAATGCGTATGCACACCCCCTGCTCCTCTGGAGGTGGCATGCAAGGCTGTTTAATCAAGATGGCAATGTGTAGTTCAAATACGTAATAAATTGGACCATAAATAGTTAGTCCAAATATTAAAACACTGACTAACATATACATGAAAAGGAAACAGTGAGTGTTCTTTTGTCCATTCATAAGCCATTAGCAAACTCATTTGTACAGATCATCCGTTGTAACCTGGTACTTTAAACCATCACACCTAAAGGAAAATATTGGAACTAATAAGTAAAATTAGTTATTCCTGCAGTCGAGTAGCATTCTTAGCTGAGTACGAATCATTTACTCACAGTAATTAATAATCTAGTGATAGCAAAATACATTTCAAACCTGAAAACAGAAAGAAAGGAAACATTAGATTATTATTATTAGATTTGAGTAATCAAAAGTCCGTTGGTGTGAGTCTTATAATGTAGTGTTTACACATTTTCAAGCCATAGATCTCAACACATCACGTATCTGTGATCTATGAAATATCTACTGTGGATCATTTGATTATGAGGACCTTTCAAAACAGTCAAAATAGAAAAATAAGTCAACTTCTCACCCATAAATGAAACTTGTACTTTTCCATCCAAATAACATCATGGGTCGATTACCACCATTTACCTGCAGAGTAGAATGCTAAATGTGCAAAAAGTATCTGTTAGTACAACTTTAAAAACATTTTCTAAATCTTTCAAGACTGTCCTTATCTTTTGACAGTCAGAGCTGTCCGGAGGGTTTATTACCCGCTGGTTTGGTTTATTTGTCTGTGTGGTATGCAACTACCATTGTTGTTGAGCACAAAAACGCTGATGGACCCTGTCTACGTTAGGTCAGAGTTAATCTGACTCTGGCCACTCCTTTAGAGAGCCTTTCTCCTTTTGTAGAACCAAATA